TAAATTTGTTAAGGTTCTGATCATCAGACGACAGGGAACAGGTTTGCTTCGGGAAAAAAGAACATTAAGTTGCCCTTTCAGGTGGAGGGTGGTTGGTCTATTTACCACAGAAACCGTTTTAAGGACAACCAAGTACGTATGTAGCAATAAGACGCGGTTGTTCTGTACTTCCAGTCGTGCGTGACCGGTTTCTATTCCAGCTGATGAATGTGAAATTAGCCGAATTTTCCTAGCTGTACTTTTTCAGCAAAGAGAGCAACTATTCTGCGAAATATACCGCAGAACGTGTAAACCTTTATGTACAGTTTTAGTTGCACTTTTGAAACTCAATGCATGACTACTTGTTGAGTAATAATGCGGGTTAACTTTCAGTTTTTACAATCATCAGTGATGCTCTGTCGTACCGTGGTTATGATTGCTGTTTTTTTGGTTACCCTTTTTGCATAAAAGAGTAGAATGTTAAGATCGATGTCAAAAGAAAGTCCTGAATCCCGGCCATACTGGTCGCGTTAGATTCTCTAGAAGGGAACTTCGTGATCGACGTAACCAAAGCACTGAGGGCTTTACCGGTCATGTATCTTCTCAATCTGTTAACAGTCTGTGTTGAATCTTTGGATCCTACCGTTGATGAACCTCATCACTTGATTGCTCTGAATACGATTGTCTACCTGCACCCGTCGTTGGATTCCCCAAACTGACAGATCATCGTTATGTACTTTTCTATTGCTTGTTTGACCATCGTTCAGAACCGTCGCTCCCTTCTTCTTTGTCCGCTAGTAGTAGTAGAAATGGTAGTAGATAGAACGTTGCATGTAGTTCTTTACCAATACCCAACAACCGTGTCCTCAGGGGAATACACCGTGTTTCACGCACCAACCCTATATACACAAAGCGGTCAAGTTACATTGGTATGCGTGCGGTTATTTGACACAAACTAATGGACAATGAGCGAGGTCAGTCGCGGACGATCGATTAAAAAGAATTCTAGGCATGTTATGAGGTTAGCGGTTGTGTGTAACTCACGCGTTCACGGTTATCCAGTTGTTGTTATTCTGTACGGTGTTGTATTCAGGCACCCGTCAGTCCTTTTAGAAGTGCTGGTTATTTGTGTGTGTGTGTGTTACATACAAGTTCTCATAGTTGATTGGTACACACTGGTGCTTCGCTCAGATATTCCCATGTTTTTTTTCTTAGCCCCAATCCCCCTAACCGTTAAATGAATCCCACACCTAATTGAAGAAATCATCGGCAGGGAGTTGATTTTCTTACACGGACAACTGCTGATAAACCTTCTCAGTATTATACCTTCTTCTATCATACTGATTTGCAAATTGTTACTTGTGCATTGAAATAAGTATCTATTGAAATCAAATGGTGATATCTGTTCCATGGTATGTCGACCTACTGTGACAGGCGGATGGTTACACTGGAGGAAATCTCGGTGTTCGCGAAGGAATTGTTTTTTTTCTTTCTCTCTCAATCGGATCATTCTTCAAACAGGTATGTGTTGTTCAGGGGACGGGAGTCAGGAGACATGAGTGCACGAGGGCACAAGGCACAGATTCCTCGATTGATCGACTGTGGTCGAAAAGGTGCAGTTTTGATTAGTAACACATCGGTCTCAGTTACTTGGAACACAATTGTTTGATGAATCACGGTTTCAAGTGTGTGTGATAGTAAGGAAGTCAGGATTCTGGATAAAAGGAACGCGGATTCTGAAACAGAATGAGTGTATCGGTGTTTCTGCGCGGTGGGAGGGGTCGGTTATAGTGTAGGGAAGGTGTTTGGTCCAATTTGAAGATAGATCGAACCATGCACGACATGTATGAAATACCGGAAGGTCTCGAAGGAGTAATTAAATCCCCGCTGGACCAGAGATGAACATTCATCTTCGAGGACGGTAAAACTCCAGTACATCAATGTCAAGATGTCCGGTTATACAAACTGTATCACACCTACTAGATCACCAGATTGTACAAGCATTCAACAAATCTGAGATCATCATCTCAAAAGACGATTGTTGAAAACTTCAAGACTGCAAGAGTTGGTACAACTGAGGAGAACGCTTTCAGACTGTTGGTAGTAGAACTATTAGAGTAATTCATCATGCTTTGTCGACACAATGCCCAGTGTAACGGTTTATGTCATCCACAATGCTGGTTCTGATCATGTTGATAAACGTTTCTCCCATAAACCATTCCGTTGTCTTAACCGTATGTCAACTGAGTGTCAGAGTACCACAAGTTTTTCGTTCATTTTTGTAGTAATGATTATATGGGGTTCAATTATGTTTGGGATCTTCCGTGTGCTTGCGAATTTTGACATGAGATCTACTCCCGTTCATGCAATCGGTTGCTTCTGATCATAATTTGTAAAAATGGTTGGTGGCTTTAGAACAAAACGACCGTAAAATACCCATCTAGAAAAGTATAGCGTACTGGCAAATAAAGTCTCTCACGGGCACGAGTTGGACAGGGGTAGATTGGTCACCGATTGCAGAAAGGTGGAAGATAGGAGAAAGCTCGGTGAATGAAGGAACTACGTGAACCGCCCGGATGCCACTTGGATGGCACGTTGCTCCACATTAATCAGAGAGTTTGTTTTCCGTTGAAAGTAAGCGAAAAACTCTTTTTGAAGAACCTTGAGCCTCTATAACCTGGTTATGAATGCATCTTCTCCGAGTGCACTTTATCTCTGCTGTTCACTGCGAACCAGCTGACTCGTTTTTCCTAGCACCACATTGTATAATGATGTGAATGGAATGTACTACATTTGGAACAGCGATATTGAGTCACTGGAGTCGGATAGAAAGTTTGTGGTTCAGGCCTCCCAACTGTGTAGGGTTTTATTATCTGGAAAAATATGCATCGAACAGGTAGTTTTCTGCCATCCATCGATTGTAAACCGAGCAGATTGATTCAGAATAATTCGGTATACATGCATGAGTACAACAAAGATGCAGTCAATGACCCATTTTGATTTCACCGATCATTTCTCTCCCCCTTCCGTATTCTCCTCACTAGTTATCATCATCGTCATGTAAACCGGTTGATTCTCGCATCAACTATCTGTCCACGTCAAAGTTGCGAATAACCCATCCAATTGATTTGACATGGATGATTTGAGTATTACTACACGTCTGCTATGCTCTAGAGCTGGAATGTGAAACGGTGTGTGCTTGTGTTTCAGAGCGAGATAGGAATCAATAAATAACCGTCATTTTATCGAAATGCCCTTACTCTATCATATTTAGATCAAGGGAAAAAGAAAAATTGTTCGACGCTTAGATTAATTGTAGCATTTCGTTTGTCATATCAATCCACACACTCGTATTTATTCCGCTTCTCTCTAGTGTTTCGCTGTCTGCTGCCGCCCACTCCACCTCACGCGTGTTTCTGTCCCCGTTTTTTGTTTCCCCGGTGGAGTTATCTGTCCGTTCGGACGTAGCTGTTATTGGTGAGATGCGAATCGACGAAACAGTCAGTAACGGCAGATTATCCCGCTGTGCGGACTAACACATGCACTGTGCCCATTACCTCAATTCAGAAAAACAAGCAGTAGTATTATAATTAAAATAAAAATAATCTGATTATTTCTGTTCCGGCACAGGATGCACAGTTGTGTGCAGGGCTAATTTGGTCATATGCCTGTACAACAGGAACACTGATTCATGGCGCGCGAGAGAGAGAGTGATGCAGCGGGGGAGACGTTGAACATTTTTGTCTCTTGATCTTCTTAGACTAACCATCAGACAATACACTTCCTTTCCGTTCGCCCCATTTAGTGGGGAATGAGGAAAGCGTCCAACACGACTGATGAAGCAACCCATGTCCTGTGCATTCTCGGTCTCTCGCTCGTCGTAACGAAGAGACAACATTTCACACACATTTTCCTTTGTTTTTATCTTCATGAATTGTGCATGTGCTGATTCTTTTTCTCTCAACTGTCTGAAGCCGGAAATGTATGAATGACACAAGTAGAAATATAATATGTATTGCTGATTAAATATTTAGCGAGAAAAAATATTCTCTGATTTTTGTCAATACACACTCCCGTGTGATGAACAGCAGACGGGATTGAACCCCATAGTCACGAGGACCTGGTGTTCATTGGCAACCTAAGCCCCGGTACTCTGAGTGGCGAACCTTTAAGGCCCTGATAGATTTCGCGCGGTATTGAACCGAACGAAAACATAGCTGCTCCAGTCTGCCTCTGATTGAGATTGCAAATCTGAAACCTTTGATTTTCCACTCTCTCTCGGTTTCGGGCAACTACAAGCGAGGTTGGAACTCACGCATGAGTTCGACAATTCTCCAAATCAACTATGGGTGTGTAAAGTAGATTGCAAATATATATATGTATGAACTCGTTCAATTTCGTCTGTATGCAGTACATTAATTCCAGTGGAAAATGGCAAACCGTTTTAACCTGGTTCGGCATGCACCGGGAGTGGATACGAATAGAGGTGTTTGCCTTCTTTAATTAGACCACAAACAATTCGTCTAGTAGCTTTGGACAGCCTATTGGGATTCACAATCTCGCATACCCGGGTTCGAGCCCTCAGGTGTTCGGATTGGGTTATCTGTTTCCATTACGGAACAGCAGGTCTTCGTGACTGCGAGGTCCTCCTCGTCTTCTGTTCAACACACAAAAGTATGTAATGAAAAAATTCCGTCATCCACCGAAACAGAATGCTGGAAGTAATGCTACCACTTCGGTATCCTCCAGATCTATCAACTTCTATCTTCTTCCGGAAGTTAAAATCACGGAAGCATTACATTCGGTTAGATTTCGGTGCATCAGGTGCTATGTATCACACAAATGACGAAAAATTGCGGAAAGTAGTTCTGTCTCCTATCAAGTTGGAGAGAACTGATTTTGCTTCCAATTTTGCGAAAAATGGATTTTGTTTATGTACGATTAAGTCAGATTCCACTTGAGCCCGAATTTGCTTTGATGCTTTGTCGGGACATATCTTGGTCTCATTTAAATGTTTCTAGAGGCACCGTTTGGAGTTCATTTGCTCAGCAGCAGCAGTCCCGAGTTTCAAATGAAATACGCTGAGGTCGGTACGTGAAAACGGCCTCTGAAAGATAATCGATCAGACTCGTTGATTGGTTAGGATTCAGAATGAAAATGTTTCTCTGGAGGTCTTGTTCAGTGTAAGATAGATGGCAGAATGATAACACATAACTTGCGAAGAATGCGTAGTTATCTCCGGGGTACGGTATCACAAACGACCTTCAATGGGAGAGAAACACAAATCTGGTGTTTCCCACGTCAATGGTTGACTGAATGAACTGACTAAAACTGACACCTGAACAAACATGAATTGACTATTCGGTTCAGCCTTGGTATGAGGGTGTTGACACAGTGGTAACCCNTCCCGTACGGGACGAGGGATATGCACGACTTATGAGCTACTTATGAGTAGCAAAATTCGAATCCAGTGCCTCCGAATGTAGGGTTAATTACGAGAGTATGTGAAACTGAAGTCTGAAGGATTGTTGTTTTAAATCGATAACTGAACTAAGCTATATTCGTTGCTTCGGTTTGAAGGTGTGCGTTTGTGCTTAAAAGTCAGAATGGAATTCTTCAACCGTGCACTCACTGGTAAAGCGGTCGATAAAACTGTGCCATCCCTCTGCTCCTCTAGCCACCCGCTTCACAGAATATGATTCATTCATTCCGAACTGGTTTATTGGGGTGTTAAAATTCTCTAATAAGTTTTCGTCTCTTTCTGGACAATAACAACACAAATGTCTTCATTAAATTGGAATTTCTCCGTGTTCTAGAACCTCGTATCACTCACAAAAGCCAAACAAACACACACGTAAACACCAAGCACAACTCCCCGTAGGAGACGCGACGTGCCCAGCCCAAGGTAACGCAAACCACAAGGATACCTACAGCAGTGAAAGGTGGAGGACACAAAGCGGACGCCAACGAACGGTGTGTGAGATATCACTCTGTTAGAGAACACACAGGAATGCGAGTTAGATCCGACCGAAGTGAGTAGTTGGGTATCCAGCATAATCGTCTGGCCTCAACACGGAACAAGACTATCCCAGCAAATGAAAGTGAGATTACAGACGGTAGGCAATAAAACGTCCGCTGGACATAAGAAGCGAGGTAAATTTGAAGTTTAAACTCGTCTGGTTATATAATATTTCGGCCCCTGGGCCTAGAGACCTTGACAGTTTATTTTAAATGGGGGAATGTTCATACTTGACTAGCCAGTGGTCAAAAAACAGGAGTGAAGAAAAAGGTTCAAAGAGTGCTAACAAATACCTGAAAGATAGACAGTTTCAGGCAACAGGAACATTTTAACCTAGCAATTTCCGCCTTTTCTTTATCATGTATTTCTCACACTGATTGAAGAGCAAGGATACTTTTTATATATCACTGACCGGTTTTTTTTTTGTACTTTTATTTCGGTTCAAAGTGAAACCGGAGCTTGTCCTAAATTGACTGATCATTAGCCAGTAAGTACAAAAACTAAATGAGTCAACAGAGTTTCCAGTATCTGAGTTCCCTCCTCCTTCTCCTCCTCTGCATGATTCAGACCGGTGCATACAGTTGTGGCAGATTGAGCTGAGCGGATTCGCAACGTTTCTCTGGGTGGCTCTGGTGAAATCATACAACCAAGGTTTTACCGATTGTCGTACTGATTCTAGGAATTTTCACTTTGTCTTGCTCAGCCTGCGGGGTCCGTGAATCCATTCTAATTTCAAGTATCTTATTATAAAATCGTATCAGTGCATCGCTGCCAGTTTTGAACATTTCTCCTCGATCGACGGAGCTGTTGTTGTTGTTGCTGTTTTTGAGTTTTCTGAACTTGCATTCATCTCATCTGTGATGTGGTAGTTCACACTATATGACGTCTCGTCGATCTCTCCGATCGCAGTTCGTTATCCTGACGCCAACATTAGTTCCATTGGGTCCAGCAAGCACCACGAATGAAATAATATCAGACAGACTGACTATGAATGCAATGGTAAACACTGCATCTTTCGTGCTCAATACGAACCCGCATTGTCCGTTTCGTTTCAACAAACAACCGGAGTAGACCTGTTGCAGTGTTTTTCACACAGCACGATACGTGTCAGTTCTGTGTGCAATAACGCAGGCCTACAACTCACTCCGGGTTACTCCCGTAGTACAGTAGTAGTACATGTGTTGTATACCTGTTTGTGATCGTGACCTGTTTGCAAATATCAATCAGACCAAGATGTCTCGTCTTTCGCTCAGATCTGTGCGACAAACTCTTGAGACATGTTCAATCCAGTGTGCGCAAATTTTTTGTTCTCACTGATCCCATTGTTGTACTGCAATGTTCACTTCCCGGGGGGAAGGAGCGGGTAGGGGATGATGACAAACCACAATTCCTGGGAACCGGGTAACTGAGTTCAACAATAGGATTTAACGGATAAAATCCCCAGGCCTCTGGATCTGAAGCTAGACTAAAGGTTAGCAGTGAAACTTCGTCCACTCTACCCGAAATGCTTGGTATATGCGTGTGTCATAACACGAACAGAAAATTCACTCTTTGTTAATGACTCATTCAAAGAATTTTGCCGTTTCTAACCTCGGTGCATCATCTGGATTTTGATGGAACTGTCAGTCGCCAACGAACTAAGTGAGTTGTTCGTCGCCTACAGCGGCGTTCGTCAAGGGTTCTCTATTCCACCATTCCTATTCAATTTCATCGTAGGCGGAGTACTAGAGACCGCACTAAGTGGTTTCCAAAACGTAGGTATTGAACGGGCTTCTCGAGAAAAGCTGTGCGATTCGAGATTGTCCTCTTGTTCGAATGTATGGAGGATGCGCAAAGCACCCTTGACAGATCGTCAAGTTATGTTACCACATTCACTATGTGCTGTGCACCTTCAAAGTGCAAGGTGATGCGGCAGAATTTGGTATCGTCTACTCCCACTTTGAAACTAAATGGTCAGGAATTAGTTATGGTGGATTACTTTTCCTACTTAGGCAGTTGCGTGACCAATGACAGTAGCGCAGCAAAAGAGATAACCACCGGCATTTCTAAGGCTCGAGACGCATACACAGGACTGAAACACCTTTGGCGTAGACGCGAAGTTCAAAGGTTGTGCGTGTTGTGGCACCATTCGTTCAGTTCTGTCTTAATACCGTGAGACCTTAAATTTGTGAGTTGAAGATTTCTATCGACTAGATTTTTTTCACCATCAGTGTTTACTTAGCTAGCCCACGTGGGATGGAGCGAATGGGTTAATAATCTGGAGGTAGTCCGTCCTGTGTTTCAGAGTTTATTTTTTATTAAACTTGATAGCTCATCAAATTCAGATTGGTAGACTTCGCTGACTAGGGCGCGTATTACTTATGCCCAGCTATCGTTCCTCACATCGCACCCTATTCGTTGTGCCTGCTTCGGGCTGGCGTAAAGCCCGTAGAGGTCAAGAGGTGACGTAGACACGAGGCATGAAGAAATGCACAGGGCCCTTAGGTAGAGTATTGTCCCGCGCCTTCCAGCTTGGGTCCCGAAAGGCTCTGCAAGTGGTTGATTCGAGAAATTGAAGCGAACCGACAGCAGTGACATTCTTGTTGTCATTTCTTATCAGGTCAGATTGCTTGAAACGGTATGTATGCACGGATCCATTGTTTACTCTATGTGTTGCCCATAATGGTTCACTGTATTCGCCCTCCCTCAGTCTGGTGAAGAGTTACTCGCTTGCTTAAATGCTGTTCACATTCATTGAATTAAATGAGATATGTTATTCCTTACTGCAACATACAATTTGGTGATATTTAATTGCTACTCCCCTTATAAATTAAAAAGCTATTATTCATGATACACAATTCCATGCAATTGCCCGATTCATTTATCTCATTCACTCGCTCACTCATTTGTCTATTGTGTTCTGCTCACTCCACTCACTCCGATCGGCCGTCTTTGATAGTGAAATAGGAGCAACACACCGATATCTGCATTCACCCCTTAGCTGATCTGATTTCTTCCGAAATCCCCCGTATTTCTCATCACCTAGTCGCACCACTCAGGGATAGTTTGAGCTGCGCGTACCGTTTGCTTGTCTGCATTTTTGTGTGCATCCGTTCGAGCTAGATCGTAACCCGTCATTCTCAGCCATCAGACCCCTGCCACTGACAGATTCCCGTTTTAGACCACATGTGGTTTATCCGACTTGCTCTTTTCTATCTCGTCGAGTTCATTTTTATTGCTTCGGGCTCATTTTCACTTACTGACTGTAAACTGCTCGATAGAGCGATATGGAGAGGTAGCAAACCAACCAACGCACACACCTCCTTTTTGTTCACCTTTCTCGCCGGGAAACCTTTTTTTTTTTTATTCCCCCCCCCCCTCCCCCATCAATAAATCAGACTAATTACGGTTTCCCTGTCTCGGTCCGGTTATCACGTGATAAAACTTTCCAAAGCCAATTAATTAACTATTGCGTATTAAGCACGAAAATGATTTCCATCATTATCCTTGTTAGAAATGAGGAAAAACCTTTGTGATAAATTTCGTTGCGTGCAGAGAAAATAAAACGTGCAATGACCACGTGGAAAGCAGTACCTGTTTGTTTCGATCTTGTCAGGTCTCATCCGCCAATTGATCACACCAACTGAGAACCTAGACATAACGCAAAAGTCTGGTACCGAAACGACCGAGGTGTGATACTCACTATAAGCTTGAAACAATCCCTCGTGCTTGATCGTGTAGGAGCCAAATTAAAACGGTTTGATTAGCTACCCGATGACCAAGTGGGTAGGTACTATAATTGCGTTGTCCCCCGGGTTCGATGGATTCGCACTGCTGTTGACACCCAACCAGATCAAAACAACAGTGTACCGTGATCGTGTATCCTAATGTTTTCGATCCTTGTTTCGATTGCTTCGTAAACGACAAACTTCACTTATCGTTGTCGCAAGACAGAACTGGAGGATTGGGTTTATTCATATGGTAAATTTCGTCGTGTGAAAAGCAAATGAANGATTGGAACATCTGGACATCTGTTTCGACCTGGTTGGGTCTCATCAGCGAATCCATTAACCCAACTGATTTCGATTCACGTTTCATTTACTCTCCAGAGGACGAAATTTACCATATGAATAAATCAAATCCTCTATTTCTTTCATGTAACATTTAATCTCGCTGGAATGTAACCTTGGGGACTATAGCTGAGACGNAGGTTCGATGCCTGCATGCCCGCAAAGATGGGTTATGATGTGTCGTGTATAAGGAAGATGAAAGGCGGATCAGATGCCTGGTGGCCGAGTGTGTAGTATCCTTGCGTTCTGCCTCTGAGGTCCCGGGTCGATAGATGAAACCCAAACAGATCGAAACACCTGTCCAATCATCCTTGTTTTCAATTATCTTCGTTTGAATTGTCCTCCGTTTTCGTGATTGTCGTCCACAATACTTCGTTCGGGAAGTAGAATATAAAATTTACTCTATCTTATAGGATGAACATTGCAACTCGATATACACTTAAGCCTCATTTTGTACTTCCTCATCTATGCGCACATGGTTTAGTTTTTCTTCGCAAATATCAGTGAAAAAAGAGCGATGTCCTCAAGATCACTGCTTCTCGAACAGAATTGAATAAACCGAAATAATAATGAAAGTTTTATCTTGTATGATTCCATCACCACAATTCTTTACGATTCCTTCCAGTTTGCATACAAACTAAACAGATCTACACCGA